TCGATATAAACTTACAGTCATCAATTTCTTCAAAATTATATATAAATTCCACATAAAGATTTCACTAATTCAAAAACCTTGTTTTAGTCAAAAAAAATATTGCTTTGTTTTATAATTCTTAAATATTTGAAATGAATATTATTATTTTGTTAAGATCAAACAACAAAAAAGGATGTTTTAAATTCAAGTCCAACAAATTTAAAAAGTTCTCAATCAACTGCAGATCTTGAAAAAAGAAAATCATTATCAATGTCTTCAACAATTACATCACGTCCATTAACATCAGTTAGTTCATCTCCATCATTATACAAAATTGTTCAAACATTATCTTCTCTTGAACGTCTCAATCTCATATCCGAACAAGTTAATACAAATGTATTATATTTATCTCGAGTTGCTGATACATTACCACGTAAAGATCCATATTTAAAAGTAATTCTTGGTGGTGTTGATGTATCAATATTAAATAAAGCTGATAAATGGACATATAAACAAGAATATGAAACATTTAAATTTATTGTTACATGTATTTCATTAGTATCGTCATTTGTTATTTGGGCATTAACATCACGTTATCGTGCATTTGATGCATTATTTCATTTTTTATTGGTTTGGTATTATTGTACATTGACAATACGAGAATCGATTTTAGTTGTCAATGGATCACATATTAATCGTAAATTAGATTTAGTTATTTTTGTTTAGACTTGTGCAAAGTAGTCCATAAAGAAAACTTCTCTCTCACGAGGAAATCTTAACAAGTAATAATTCATTTTTAAGACGAGCCTTGTTTTATGAAAATTAGAAACATTCTAATAGGATTCATATCCATGAGTCTTTCTTCTTGTGATGATGATCATTGTAATATATTTTTTAAATAAAATATCATAGTCTCCCTCAGATTAACTTCAAAACTGATTCTCGTGTTTTAATTTTATACACATAAAATTTTCAAGGAGACTAGTTTATTGTAAAACTATCAGGCTTCTTTAGAATCTCCTACTGTCAGATATAAATATGAAAACAGAATTTTATTTGAGTTTTAATCAATTTATTAAATAAGTGAAAAAATGATTTGAACTATTTTAGAAACAATTCAATTGTTAATATAATTTTTTTGTTTTGTTCTTTTAGCTTGGTGGCGAGCTCATCATTTTGTAGCCACAGTTGCAACAGGTATTTTATTAACATGGCCTGAATCGGCATCTTATCATGCATTTCGTACGCAATTTTTTGTCTTTTCGTTTTACTTAAGTTTTGTTCAAGTAAATAAATTTTTATCGAAGATTTGAAATAAAGAAAGATTTTATTGATTTTTGTTTCTTATTAGGTTCTTCAATTTTATTATCAACGAGGTTGTCTCTATCGATTACGAGCATTAGGTGAAACACATGATATGGAAATAACTATTGAAGGTTTTCATCGATGGATGTTTCGTAAGTTAAAGAAGAATCTTATGCGGTATAAAAAACAAAGGTGGTAGAATTTTATTGTACGGAAATTGAAATCATTTATATTTAATTAGGCATTCACTGGAGCAGAATTCTGATTTATATTGCTTCTAAGGCTTCTTACAACACACTACTAACTAGCATGTCTGTAGATAACATATTCAAGAGAGAGAACGTTAGAAAAGTTTGTATCCATGCCTTTGATCGTTTCCTACAGTTACAACTTACAGAGGAGAAGATCATTTGGCAAATGTAAGATAAAGGACATGTTTAACAATCGATGAAAGGTTTCAATTAAATAATTTCATTCTTAATGCACTGTCACCTTGCCAGGTTTTATTTTGATGGTAGGTAAATAAATAAAAATTCAGTCATCAATGAGGTTTTGTCACACGATCGTCAATCTTGATAGAATCCTTGAATATTTAAAACTAATATCTGCACAAGAATAAGAGAAAGGTAGATGTAATCTCAATAACTCGATAATAACAACAGCTAGTGACCTAAGATTTTCGACAATCGAAAGAGAAGAACTTCAGATGTCTTCTTGTCTGATACTATTTAAGACAAAATTATTTTAAAATTCATCATTTTCACAAAAGATGTATGAACACAGTGTTCCATTTCGATGCAATTTATTATTGAGTTTACACCTACCTCTCTTGAATTATAGCTTGCTGTCACCATTGTAGTCTTAGGTTGAATGTAGACATGACTTCTTTTTACCGTATGAATTTGTTGCAGATATCCTTTGGTCGCGAAACCCGTATATATACAGGCTAAGCTTCTATACACATTATAACTTTTATAATCTTCTATCTTTCCCTTATACTTTTAGCATCACAGCAACATTATATGATATTATTGTATATGTATATTAAGTAGAAACGAAGAAATTATGGGTTTAGATTTGTTTCATCTTTGATTTCTATACTTTCAGAGATCAATTCCGGCATTTAAAAATCATAATTCTCATTAGCATTTTGAGTCTAATGTAGAAATAATGTATGTTCTAATTCTTAATAAATTGAAAGCTTTTCGAAAGATTGAAAAATTTTTCTACAGCTAGCTGCTAGAAATAAATGAAAAAATAATTTAAGATATATTGATTTATTTTATTTCAAGGTGGTCTATCATTTTTGGTTCCATTTCTTCTTGTTGGCTATTTATTTCAATTATATAATGCATATGCATTATGGCAATTAGCACATGTATCAACAACACATGAATGGCAAGTAATGGTATTAGCCATAATATTTTTTGTGCTTTTTTTGGGTAATATATTAACAACATTAAGTGTTTTACGTGAAAAATTACGCGAAAAACCACCACCAACATTATTAAAAGAAAAATATCAAAGTTTAAAAACATTTTTATCAACAAATTATCATCGCCGAACACGATCAATTCATCAATATGGACATCGAGGAGAAAAAGAACGACCTAATAAAGACAATAATATTCATATAACATCGAAACAAGATTAATGATTCTTTTTTTTTTTTTTTCGTTTTTCAATTTTGAAAATAAAACAAAGAAAAATATGCATTTAACAATACAAACGAGAATAAAAAAAATAAAGGCTTGATTTTTATTTCTTTTTAAAGATGCGATTATCAATTGTTTTACTTAAACAAGTTTCACAATTTCGATTTACTAATTATTTGCCAACACGACGTATTCCAGGAAATGTATTGATTGGGTAGGTTTGCTTTTTTTTTTTTTATTTCTATAAATTCTCCAAAAACAAATATGATATTATTTCTAAAAGAAAACATCGAGTTCGACGTACATTAGGTCAGGGTGAAAAACGTGATATGCAACAACGAATTGAAATTGAATTAGAAAATATGGTTTATCTTAATCGACCATATCTTACTGAAGTAAATTGATAAAATAAATTTAGTTCGTCTGATAAAAATAGTTTTATTTTAGGAAGAAGATAATCTTTATGAACAAGATCCAATACGTAAAGAACGTGAAGAAAAAGCTTTAGCATTAAAACGACGACAAGAAGAAATACCTGAACATATTTATTTAAAACGTGATTTGTTAGATCGTGTATCTTGGTATAAAAAATGGGAATAAACATTTTTGATTTTTTGTTGATTAGAAATAAATGAATTTTAGTATCAATATTCTTGTTTTTTTTGGTTTATTTATTTCTATTGAAGATTAGAATTAATTTAATGTCGAGTGAAGAAGAAGATGAATCGATAATTGGAACAAAAGAATAGTGAGTAATAATATCTATATTTATTTTTTAAATGGATTATAATATGTTTACCATCTAGTTGGGATACATTATATGAAGGAGAATTAAATAATTTTAATGAATTTGGTGATGAAGGAGAAATATGGTATGTTAATGTGAAAATTTTATATGAATTCCTTTCATAAAATCTTTTCAGGTTTGGCAAAAGTATTTTAGCCAAACTTATCGATACCATATGTCAATTAGTGCCTAATAAAGAAACAACAACTATTTTAGATATTGGCACAGGTTAATAGAGATTATGGTTTTTTTTTATTTAAAATAAATGTTTAATTAGGAAATGGTCATGTTATTCAACGTTTATTACGTCGTGGTTTTGTTCATTTAACTGGTATTGATTATTCTGAAAAATCTATTGAATTAGCTCGTACACAAATTGGATCGAATATTAAATTTCAAGCCATTGATATGACTGCATCTGATACATCATCACTTAATCATTTTGATATTGGTATTGATAAAGGAACATTAGATGCTATACTTTTATGTTCAAGTGATCAACGAAAATTAAAATGTGAAGCCTATGTAGATACAGTTTATCGACATATAAAAAATCTCTTATTTCTTATTTCGTGTAATTGGACACGAAATGAATTATTAGAATTTTTTCAACCGAGTAAATTTTCTTGTATTTTTTTTTTTTTGTTAATAAAAATTTTATATTTTTAGAATTTTCATTAGAACGTGAAATTGAAACACCAACAATGTTATTTGGTGGACAACAAGGAAAAACAGTAACTTTTCTTATTTTAAAAAGAAATGATTGATTTATTGTGATATATCAATTGAATAAATATTTCCACTAACAAAAAAAAGAACAACGTATCTCTATTTGTTAACAAAAATCTTTCATTTTTATTGGTTTAAAATAGAAATTTATTTCAAAAATTAATCATTGTCATACTTGTAGAATTAGTTCCAGCAGGCTTTATAGGATAAATAATTAATCTGATTAATGTGTATATAATTATAAAATAAAGAATAAAACCAATAGTAATAATTGTCATCATTTTAATATATCGAAATCGTAATCGTCTTTGAAATAGTACTGAAATTTCTTCCGTCCACTGATTCATCTTTGTATACGTAATCTAGAAAAAAAAAAGGTACTGTTTAATATTTATTATCTAGCAGGTCAATATTTTCATCTAATACAGATTTATTACTATATATATTAATTGATTTGATCGAAATAAAAAAAAAGTTGATAAGAAGCACTTTAAATACAACCAAAAAAAAAATGATTGCTTAATAGTATAATAGGTATTAAACTGAATATGTTTGTGATTATTGTCATGTTAAAAGAATTTTTAAGTTTTCATAGCATGCCAAAGAAAAAATGTAAACAGAGAACTGACAGAATGTTTTATGTTTTGTTTTTCTTCTTTTCAAAAAGGACACCTTTAAAAAATCAACAACATTGATTCACATCTAAACGATTAAATCGAATTTATAAGCCATTATGATATTAACAAATAATCATTTCATGTATTATATATAACTATTTGTTCATTAAGCTATCCAATTATTTGTTGACCAAACTTAATAAATCACTCCCTTGTCTTTTTCATACATAATTGTTTTGTACAGTAATTGAAATCAATGTTTTCCATCGAATTATGATCTCTATCACATATAGACAAAAGAACTCTCAATTAATTATAAACAGTACTCTCACTACTGTGTATCAAACCGTACAATGGTTATGCAATTCACTCATATATATACAAATAGAACGCAAAATTGGTATTTTTCAAAAACTAAAAATATGATATCTTCTGGTCGATTAAATAGAGTTACAGAAAGACAATGATGTTTTTTTTTATATTTTTTTTTCTTCCATATATGATATATCTGCTATAAAAATAAAAGGTGTTTCTTACAATTGCAATATTTCAGATGATGAAATAACGTGTATTCTACCATGCAGTGAAAAATCATGAGCAACGTGGTAGCATTGCAAAGACTAGCAATTTCTTCCACTAAAGAAAGTTATTTTGTGTCGCACATGGTAATAATAATAATAATAATAATAATTGTATCCGGTTAAGCGAATATATTGGCTGAAGAGGAAGATTGTATGAGATCTATTTTGATCTACAAGTATTCAATATAAACAATGTCACATCAATATAACATTTATAGACGAAAATCTTTAGCTTTATCTCGTAGACTTTCTCATTATTCTAGTCATAGTTTATAACAGAATCACACACACACATTATGTTCAATCACATAAAATCATTTTAGTTCACAAAATCACAGATCATTGTTTTCTCCTTAATCAGATATCTCTATCTCGGTCATTCTCTCTTGAGTGATTGAAATAAACGAATGTGACCAAATATTACTAATGCATGTATTGTTTGAACTTAATTAATCCAAAATTGAATAAATCTGATTATTGTTGTGTCTATTCACAACACTTGACCTGGAGTCTACGTCATTTTTTTGTAACATAGATAGGCAAACAAGAACCGAAAATACTCGTTTACTTTGAAAATTTAGTATAAAGGATTTTTAATAGATCTCTGTTATTAGTTTTCATCTATTACTGTTGTTGATTTTAGTTGAGCTCTGTGCTTTTTTTCGAGTGACATGATAGAATATCTAATTCAATCAACACTAATTTTTTTTTCATGCAGTTTAGTGACCAAGGGTCAAACGTACTGTGATATAGATAGAAATTATTAGATTTTATTGTATTTGATTCCATTATTTAGAGCTATATTTGCTTGTACTTTTTCAATAACAATTGTACCATTGATAGAGACTAACACTATGCTGAAAAGTGTTTGAAATAAATATTTTCTCTATTAAACGATTTCTCCTTTCATGGTTAATTGTAAAGTGCTTCTTATTTATTCTTATTCAGCTGATTATGACGTATTTTCTTTTAATATGTTGCAATTATTACTTCTTCATTATGATGCACTAAATTTATCTTTCATAAAAATGTTCAATGAAATATATCTCAATAGCTGTCATTTTAAATGTTAGTCATTATTAAGATGATTGTTCGTTTCTGATAAGTAACATTCATTGTGTCTTATTTATTGAAATGAAAATTATGTTTTTGTTTTTTTGTATTAAAAATAATTCAGCTTCAATAAATGATCTATAATAGTTCCATCTTTATCATGTTCAAGCACATCGATCGTCCATCTTACATTGTGAGTAGAAGCAGTTTCATGATTATTATTCGATCAACTTTTCACGAAAAACAATGATATAGAAGAAAATGGCAAGGAAACGATGATGAGAATTAATTAAATACAGGTAATCAATCCAAAGAGAAATTTGAATCATATTGCATCATTTTTATTGACTTTGCATACAACTTCTCATGAATACACTTGTTAAACTTCCATATACTAGAATAAATAAGATTTCAACAGAATATGCATGAAACACATTATGTGGTCAAAACGATTGAAAACTTATTAAATAGTCTAGAAATGACGATTTTTATAAATATTGGAAAGAGGTTTCTGTATCTTTCAAACAATGTTCATTAAGAAACTCGCTACTAAACAACATATACAATTTTAAAATGACGTTGTCTCTAGAAAAAAGAAAGGATTCTAAAGTAACCATGGAATGATCTAGTAGACATGCTAAATTTTGTAAGACTCCATTCGTTTATTATCAAATCAATAGAGATGTTAGATAATTTAAAAGATCATTCCAGGTAAAAAATGATTTCCAATGCTTAGAAGAGTTGCATCTTGCATCTTTTATTAACGCTGAATAAAGATGATTCTAACGTAAGTCGTTTGAACTATGTAAGATGGACCATTTTTTAATATGACCTAATGTTTGATGAGAAGACTAATGTAAACACGGATGTCAATTGTAATTAAATCAGTGTGTTTTCTAGAGCCAGTCGAAAAGAACGATGCTGTTGGTACTGGATTCGTTGATTTCAGTTACAGTACTGAAAGATCACTGTTTTTAAAATGGAGTTAACAAAAGAACAACTTTTGAAATAGTTGATGAAATATAACATATTCAAAAGTGTGATCGGTAAATTCAATGTTATGCAGCAAATTATTTTTTTCTCGTTTTAGAATTGTCTTAACATCAAAGAGTGACAATTTGCTAATAAAAGAAATATTATTTGGGTTCTTAAGTTTATCGGGAAGTGGAATTTGAATGGTAAGATAAGCGCAGAACTCGCTGCAAGTCTTAGTAGATGCAATTGTAAATGAAGTCTTATAGATCCGTTTAGAACTGTAATAATCCTCAGTCTCTCTGTCAAGGGATTAAATTGGATTATGTCGTACAGCAAGGCCTTTAAAAAAAATCTTGATCAGACTAACAGAACTAGACATATTGTGTTACATAAACTAATTTTTATCAGGATAGAACCATTTTTGAAAGCAAAAGAAACGGTCCTGTATTACTTCATTTTTTTTACAGAGTTCAATTAGCATAAAGTTTTTTTTAGCTGGTTCACAAGTTGAACAAGAATTCGATTTTAATGATAGAACTCGTTGCAAATTTCTTATACAGATGCAATCATGTCTTAGTTTTCACAAGAATTTTATCTTTCGAGTATTTTGTAAATAATAAAAGCATATGTCCTTGTCTTTCGATCATATAACTCGAGTACATCAAATAATTTACTTATTTACTAGTCAATATAGTAAGGAAGTAATTTAGTAGTAACGATTCATTAATGAAACAAGGACAAAATATCATCTTAGACATAAATATTGCCTTGACACAAAGCATGTGATAGAAATGCGTAGAAAAATAAATTTTGTTTTCTCGTTTCCCTTCGTATTCCACAAGGTGATACTTTTATATG